ATTCTGATAGGAATTCTCAACAACATGCATGAAATACTTAAAAGGTGCTAACACAAGAACACGTTACTTGCTTTCACAGAGATCTTCCCAGTCCCTCAATTCCCACCAGCAGGCACGGGAGGGGTGTGGATGGTACCATTAATCAATCGGTTCTACTCACTTATTCACGATACAACAACCAAAATTAGTGATAGAAGGGAGCTGGAAAGGGCAGGTGAGTGCTTGAGTCAACTTGTAAAGATTTTAAGAAACCAAATTAAAATGGCAGTGAAATGAGAAAAGCTAATCTTAATTACAAACCTAAAGTCAGAGTAAGGCTTCAGTGAAGTTTCTCTCTCCCCACACTACACGTTGCCTTTAGCCGAAGACAAATTGCCCACATTTTTGTAATCTACTAAGTTAAAGTCATTACCCTGACAGTGCCAGGAAGTCTAATTTCCTGGAGCAGTAACACAAAGATTTATAAGTGAATTTAAACACTCACCTTCTGGAATAGAAAATCTATCATCGGCATCAGGCTACATGGAAAGTGACTGAGGATTTCAGATAACGGATAAAGAAGAAATTGGCCTGCTGACAAGTTCACCCAAAATCTCATTCTCTACCTACACAGGCTGCTGACCAGGGTAAGTGTACACATAAGGCCGAGCTTTCAAATAAATTCAGCTTTTCTGTGAGGTCCCTGTTGCAACAGAACAGATTTGTCCAACTATAAACAGCTTTAGCACTAGTTCTGTATTTCTGCTTGACTCTCTCTCAAACTTACGTTTCCATTAATATGGAAGTAAGCTTAAATAATCAAAACAGAAAAGATAAATCTATAACCACTTCAATAACTGACTTAAAGGAGACAGTGAGTTAGCTCATCCACCAGGCTGAAAGGTACCTTCACTTCTCCTTACGGCTGAAAACTTTCAGCTTCATGAGAAAAGCTGAAACCATAGCAGAACTTCAACACCCAGAGCACTTTATAGAGCATCTACCTTTAAACCATTCTATGTGTGGGTGCATAAAGAAGCAACCATGAGATTTGCTTAAACCAAACAGCACAGAGGTCTGGATTTAATTAGGAATAACCTGCTGCTTCCCTGTAAAAAGCTGTTTTGCTCTCCTGGACTTTCCCATCCCGTGTTCCAGCACCGATGAACAGAAGCAGACAATCCAACACCTTCACATCAGGAGGATTAAATGTTACAACCTTTATAACATCTTCAGAGGGCTGACACATATCAATGCTGATTCTTTTCAGAAAACCTTATCGCACAGTCTGCCATCTGAGACACCGCTTTTCACTGCACAGATATGATTAGTCCTGATCTTCCCCCCAGCACATGAGCCCCTGTCTTCCCCGCACAGAGCCTCCTGTCACTATTCCTGCTCAGAAATAGAGACTCTACAAACAAAGCAAAGGAGCTGTACTATGCTATGTATTTAACGTGCACACAGCAGCAATCAGCATTTGCACTGTGGTAGTGCAGAGGAGAACACGCTGCAGGGGAGACAGCACCACTACCAGTGACCTACTTTAAACTGGAGAAGCGATTTCAGCAAGACTT